TCTCGCTCCTCTTATAAGCACGGCATTCGCAGCGAATGAGTGATCGGGAGCGATGACCCTTTGCGTAGACAAGCTCCTCGCGCTTGTGTAGACACGGAGCACCGGGCCGCAATGGAAGATGGATAAATTTGTGAAAACACCTCCGAAAGCGCAATACTCCGATCGACCTTCTTGATCCCAGCTAGCTGCCCTGATGCGATGCAGGAGCGAGGAGATCTCAGGCTTGGCGCTTGGTATCGGATGCCTCAAGAGAGAGAGAAAAGGGAGAGATGTCCGAAATTGATGATTGCGCGATTTGTGATGGATGGAAAGGAAGGGAAAGGGTGGCGAGCAGCGAGCAGCGAGCACACACTCTCTCGTCATTGAAGCACAGTCAATCAGTCAGTCAAGCCTGCTCATCCATCCAGATTGTGGGGTAAACGCAAACGCATTGATTCATTTCTCCACTGCACGATGACTCCTGACTGCGCCTCCTGACCCTCAAGTGCCCCCATCTCGTGAGCAGGTGCGGTGTGGTCAAGTCGAGGCTTGCTGGACACATGCTCAGCTGCGCATGTACATGCACATGTATGCACTGACCCACCATGCATCCATCTCATCCATCAGATCGCTGCCATGGAAGAATTGTGAGCAAGACAAGGCACCTACCTGCTGCTTGACTTGTTCGAGTGTGGGGGTGCTGTATGGTATGCCGTGCGTGTATGGCCGCGCAAGAGCGAGCGAGGACCTTTTTGCGTCCGCCTTGCAATCGTGGGGAAGCAAAGCGCGTTTTGCGCGTTCGGCAATCTCCTAAGCGCACCGCACCGCACCGCACACACAAGCATCGTGATCGACGTACGTGGATGTGATGCATACAGTATATGCGCTCGATGCGCTACGCTACGGGAGGAAGGTCACCAGATTCAAGATTGCCGACAAAGGTACGCGCAGCTAGCTTAATAATATGCTTCGAGGGTTCAGAGATCTGCGAAAACGTGCCACTCTTCAGACTTGAATCTTACAACACATGGCCCCAGCCCTGTCTTTGCCTTTCTCTTCACCTCCAAGGCCGGCATGAGGGGCTTTCGGGGCTTTCATTCGCGCTAGGCACGCCACGCCACGCCACGCCCCCACACCTTCATACTCTTTCCAGTTGTGCATCACCACCTGATGAGAGGAAAAGACGAGAAGAGGGTCACGTGAGGATGAGGATGATGATGCCGCGGCCTGTAGCGCGTCATGCCTGCCCTGCCCTGCCCCGCGCGCGCTGCATGTCATAATCTATGGAGCGCTTCATAACGCGCACGCAGCATCATCAGCAATTTGAATCAAAAGGGTGCGGCGCGTGTGCGGTGGGAGGAATCAGCAATAAGCTTGACTTTGTGACCGCACGCACGCACAAACGCTGCACGC